ATCACACGTCCTGGGCAAGGCGTCCCTTCCACAGGTGGAACTCTCACCTGGTCTCAGTCTCCAGCAGTTTACATAAGCAGTTACAGAGTTTGCAGAGGAAGCATCTAGTGTTCCCATGCACAAAATGGTTATCAGTGGCATATGTGCACTGAGCCCCTTGGCTAATGTCCCAGCCCAGTAGTTGTGTACGTGCATTGTTCTCTTTGGTTATCATCTTAGCCCGGCACAGATGGCCAGTCCATCCTGGGCTACGACGCTCCAAGAGCCTTGAAATGTTACAACTTGTAACTCTCTCCGTGGGAGAAGGGCCAGTTCCCACCACGCAGAAAGCAGCTGTTATATTTCTTTTTGTGCTGGTGGCTGTAGGTCAATGGAGCGGCCAAACATGGCTGTACTCATGTCAAGACACCTCTCTCCTGGGGCACTTATAGGCTGACTCCCCAAGCCTCCTTCCCTCCCCTCTAATCCACTTACCCCTATCACCTGGCCCTTTAAACTGGAACTCTTTAATGAGTGACAAGGGAGGACAACAGGACAACAGGAAGACTGAGCATCTCTTGCAGTCCTTGCTGTTGTTCAACCCAGGAGGGTACCCCTGACCCCAGAATTGAGCCCAGCTTTCTTAGTCCTGCATTCAGGGGACAATGGCCAGGGTCCAACAAAAATGCCTGCTCCATGAGGCTTACATTCCAATAGAGGAAAAGAGGAAATAATAAGAAAAAAGTAATAAAAAATAAAATAATAACAGTAACTATTTTATTAAGTGAATTGCCTATTATACTGGGAGCTTCTATGTTCTATGGACAAATGAAAAGGAAGAGCAGAGAATGGGGGGCGGGGCAGGTTGCAGCCTCCTCCAAACACACGTGAATGGAAACAACTGAACCACGACTCTCTGTCAGACAAGTCCTCACACAGCCCACAGTGTGGGGATTATGAGTGGCTCTAAACTGAGTAATTTGGCAACAAATCCTTAGGAGTATGCAGCCTAAAACAAAACTTTATTCAGTATTTGTACTGTTTGTATTGACAGTATGTTTTTTTTTTTTTGGAGCTATTCTCTTAAGTTGTCAAAGCAAGTAAATAATTGTTTATTTTGATAGAGACCTAGATTTCCGGATTAATGAAAGGGAAGGCCAACTGTAGACTCAAAAATTTGCGTAGGAGCTGTGTACTATTAGAACTGAATTGAACACACCAATATGAAGTCATGCCTTTATAGAACATTTAATTCAAAATATATTTCCTTTTTGGCATTTTTCCACCGAAATGGCCCAGTAGCAATGTTACTCCATAGGGCACCCTAATGCCCAGATTTTGGTTTCTAATGCTATTTTCTCTCAGAAGGAGCCAGGGTTTCTTGGAGCAATGTCTGAGTCCACATCTGGTCTGGGCTGGAAGGGCACAAGGCAGTCCCAGAACACCTATACCTTGCTGGGCCAGAAACAAAGCTTTCAACTATTGGGTCATTCAAAATTACACAAGAATCAATCTAAAAGGGCTCCCACTGGCCAAAGTTGGGACAATGTGAGCGTCAAAAGGAGAATATTGGCTGACATCAATTGACAATAAATTTGAAATGTCAGGAGTCCATAAGGATACACAAAAGAGCAAAAGCTAATAGGGTGAATTCTCAAAGATGAACAGAATGCATTTCTCCCGAGTCTTGTTATTCAATCGTGTTGGGCTTATTGACTCACTGTGTCAATGAAGAATACTAGGAATGTAAACTAGGAAAGGTAAAGGCGTCAGTCTGAAGGCATTTTTCTCCACCGCCACCCTCTCCCACCCGAGCGCCCGCCACTGCCTCGGCCCCCCGCCGCTTCACTTCCAGTCTCTCCACGCTCACCTGTCTCCTGTCCCGTGGGGATTCCGCCGCAAGGGCCTTTATTTCCCTCTTACGGAGGTTTTGTAGATTCTGTCTGTCTGTCTAGCCTCTGTGCGACTCCTTCCCATCTCTTTAAAAAAAAAATGTTTTTTCTTCTTATTTTCAGTGTGCCCTATTTTATAGGCTAACTTTCTGCGGGTGCAAAGCTCTCGTTTCCTTTAAATCTGGCCAGACTCGATCCCTTCAGGGAATTTTCGCAGCTCCTGGAGCCCACCCGGAGGGGGACCTCATTACGTCCACGGGTGTCTGGCGCCACCTTGTGTTGAGTGCTGGAAAATTCCTTCTTCTGCTCCCACTCAGCGAACTGCCCTGGGCTTCCTGGAGAGAGAAAGGAAAGCTCACACAGGTTTCCTAGAAGGAGAACTCAAATACAAAGCTTGCATGGGCTTGGCCCCTAACAAACCTCCTGTCATTAGTGGGTTTAGATTCAGTGGCCACCGTCTTCTCACTGGTGCTCTGTCTCTATCTTCACTCTGCCCACGCCGTCCTCCCTCCCTACGGGCCCTTGGCGTCTGCCTTACTCTCCTGTCTGTCCTCTTTCCTCTGTGCTGCCCTTCTCTACCTCTTAAAAAAAGAGTCTTTGGGTATTTTTTTGTCCTATTTCTAGCCTACCCATGGTCTAGTCTGACTTTCCGGAGGAGCTCGTCAGGCCACGGTTCATGAGGGAGGAGTCATGTTAAACCATTGTGGCACGCAGGCTGGGGAATCTGGAACTGGCACACCCGAGTTGACCCTAAGTTACAGTTTTCTCTTGCTGGCTCCTGGGACTCGCAAGCATCTAACGAAAAAGCCTGGAAAAACCCAGAGGTTTTTCCTCTGGCTCCTCGCTAGAGGTGGGAGCACACACATGAGGGAGCAGGAGGCTCACACAAGGAAGACACAGGCCTTCCTGCCTCCCTCAGTCGCAGGCTGCAAGCCCTGGAGAGGTTGTAAATCCCCCTTGGAGGAGAAACGGAGGAGCCGTCTCGAATACCTGCAAAAAGCCCCAAGAACAAAAGCACAAACCCTCCTACTGTGGAGGAGGTGCATGTCCCTGTTTCCTCTATTGGACCCACTGGGGAAATTTTTAAAAACTACTTTAAAAAACTTGGCTGTTGGAAAAATCAGTGCCTGTACAAACCTCAGTAACTTCTACATTTTGTTCCTGTACTTAAAACCACTCACTCACGAAATGGCCACACGCCTCCAGATTTTCTGGGCATGCCAGCAAGTCTTCCAACCAAGCAGCCTCAGCATAAGATGAAGCCTGCAAATGTCATCTTGCTTTCTAGCCTCAGGCGATTAGATCCCAGAACTCAGGCCCTCTGATGTCATCCCACCTGCATTAACTGGGCTGAAGGGATTTCCCAGGTGGGGCCTGTTTCATTGATGTTAACTCTCCGCCGTCTCACCTGCACTGTTGTGTTGCAATTGGAAATAGGTCAAAATGCAATAACCTTCCGATTGAGGCTGGCTTATGAGGGCCAATGGGGTGGAAGAATTACTGTATTTTATTTTATTTTTATTTATTTATATTTTTTTGAGGAAGATCAGCCCTGAGCTAACATCCATGCCAATCCTCCTCTTTTTGCTGAGGAAGACTGGCTCTGAGCTAACATCTGTTGCCAATCCTCCTCCTTTTTTCCCCCAAAGCCCAAGTAGATAGTTGTATGTCATAGCTGCACATCCTTCTAGTTGCTGTATGTGGGATGCCGCCTCAGCATGGCCAGAGAAGCGGTGCGTCGGTGCGCGCCTGGGATCCTAACCGGGGCCACCAGTAGTGGAGCGCGCGCACTTAACCGCTAAGCCACGGGGCCGGCCCTTGTGTTTTAAATGAAAGGTTAAGTTAGCAGATGGTGGCAAATAGATGCTGAAATTTAAATA